TCCACATCCTGTCCTGATTGGCCCAAAAACTTCCTCCTCCTCATCCTCTGATGTATGTGGAAGAACTCCCCCTGGAAAGCCATGCAGCCTGAAAACAAAAGCCAGCACTATAAGTCCCAGCTTCTGCCAACCTAGCAGTTCGAAAACATGCAAAAGTGAGTAGATCAATAGGTACTTCTCCAGCGGGAAGGTAACGGCGCACCATGCAGTCATGCCGTCCACATGACCTTGGAGGTGTCTACGGGCAACGCCGGCTCTTCGGCTTAGAAATGGAGATGAGCATCATCTCCCGAATCAAATATGACTAGACTTAATGTCAGGGGAAACCTCAACCTTTACTTTGCCTTATCTTTCCTGCAGGATAGCCAAATAGTCTTAACATAAAAACATCAGCATACAATATAAAATATGCAAACATGCAAACATTAAAACAGGATTAAATATAAACAGCATTTTTAAAAATCCCAGTTAAAAACTTTCAAAACATATTCAAAGTTTTGTATTGTTTGCAAACTGCTTAGCATCCAACCGCCTTGGTTTGCTGCAAAAGTGAATGACGCTTCTTATGCTCTTTCAAGGATCCCAAGCCATTGCCCTACCTCTGCGATGATCAGCCTTACACATTCGACATCAACCTCTTCGTCGGTATTAAAGGTATGCTACTGCCTTCTCTGCGCTCCCTTCTGTTTAATTCCAGCTAAATTTGTTTTGGAATGGTTTTGTAGAAGGCGGATTTAGCAGGTGTTGCTTGTGACACAACCAGGTTACAAGCAACCCTTGCTGAAATTTCCTCTTTACTACCATAGTAAAAACCTTTCCAGTAGGCATGGATAGAGTGGCTTGGATAACCCGTTGCTCGTAATAATTTCGTTAAAATTACCTTTTTGAAGCGATATCAAAGCTTTTTTTAAAAAAAACGGAAGTCCCTTTGCCCTTCCGAAGCTTTTTCCGCCATTTTTGTTACGACTCTGGAAGTGAGTCGGAAATGATTCGGTTTTTTCCTGCTTCTGGTCTCTGGCCTCGGCTCAAGCCAGAGAATCCAGTTTTAAGCCAGAGAAGGAAGGAATTTCCTCTGCTTGTTTTTTCCCAATTCTGGTCCCTGTCCTCGGCTCAAGCCAGAGAAGCCAGGTTAAAACCAGAGAAGGAAATAATTTCTTGGCCTTGGCTTGAGCCAGAGAAGCCAGTTTTAAAGCCAGAGAAGGAAGGAATTTTCTCTGCTTGCTTTTCCCTGCTTCTGGTCCCTGGCCTCGGCTCAAGCCAGAGAAGCCAGTTTTAAACCAGAGAAAGAAGGAATTTGTTGGCCTCGGCTCAAGCCGAAGAAGCCAGTTTTAAACCAGAGAAAGAAGGAGTTTCCGGGCCTCGGCTTAAGCCAGAGTAGCCAATTTTAAAATACTTCAAAGGGCCAAAATTAAGAAAATGTAGGGGGCACTGGTGGTTCGATTCAAAAGTCAATTCCGATTTTCACAGAAAATTTTTTCAAAACTTTTCGAAACTTCCGAGACTTTTGAATTCTTTCGTTAATGGTTTGAAAGTGTTATTTCCTGTTTCATTGGGTGGTCTTTACTCTGAAAGTAGTTGTTTTACTCCAGAAGCGGGGGAAAGCAAGCAGAGGAAATTCCTTCCTTCTCTGGTTTAAAAGTGGCTTGAGCTGAGGCCAGGAAATCAAGATATGCTACATGTACAGCATTCCCTGCATCTACCAAGCTTGTAACTGTATCGAAAAAAGAGATATGATGAGTCTGGCATGACTTGTTTTTGTGAAATCAATGTTGACTTTGAGTAATCACTTTCTAAGTGATTGCAGACTGCCTCCTTCATGATCTGCTCCAGAATCTTTCCTGGAATCGATGTTAAGTTGACTGGACAATTATTGTTTGGGTCCTTTTTTTCCCTTCTTGAAGATAGGGACATTCACCCTCCTTTAGTCTGCTGGGCCTTCTCCTGTTCTCCGAGAATTCTCAAATATTATTGCCAGTGGTTCTGAAACGACTTTGGCTACTTCCTTCGAGACTCTTGGATGCAATTCATCTAGTATATTCACACTGGAAGTCCATGCTACTGCCAAATCTCAAAGAGCTCTCTTGGCCTATATGCTTAATTTTTATTTATGCAGCTTTCAGCTCGAGGGTTGCTTGGCACAGGGGTTTTATTGTGCTGGAAATTCACTGCAGATAATGTGTCTTTTTGCAGGGGATGGAATGAGCAAAGCAGCTAACATTTGCCACTCAAACTTCAAGGTGAGAAAATACTATTTTAATTGTTATTTTTTATTTTAAAAAAACCCTTTTTCCTGACAACTAGAGCCCCCAGTGGTGCAGCAGATTAAACCATTGAGTTTCTGAACTTGCTGACCAAAAAGTCGGCAGTTCGAATCTGGGGAGTGGGGTACAGCGTACCCATCTGAACGTATCTCCTTCTACATCCCACCTCGGAGTTTAAGTTCTTCTGGGGAGTCCTTGCTCTTGGCCCCGTCTCTGTCTCAAACATGCTTGGCGGGAACGAGGGACAGGGCCTTTTTGGTGGCGGCCCCCCGCCTGTGGAATTCACTCCCCGTGGAAATTAGGTCAACGTCATCCCTCCTCACCTTTAGAAAGAAGGTAAAAACATGGATGTGGGACTGGACCTTCGGGTAATTAGACGGAAATGACAATGACAGTGTTGACAATGGCTTGGAAATGGATTATGGATAAGTTAAATGGAGTACTCAGTCACAGAATTTGGCTAGATAATGGCCACCAGACTGGGAATAGTTTAGTCGGCCTGTCATTGGACATCGAGAAAACCAAAGTGCTGTTCCAGCAGACACCAGCCAACCCCTCTCCAATGCCAGAGATACAGTTTAATGGTGTAACATTAGAAAAAGTTGATAATTTCCGCTACCTTGACACCCACCTCTCCACCAAAGTCAACATCGACACCGAAATACAACACCGCCTGAGCTCTGTGAGTGCAGCATTTTTCCGAATGAAGCAGAGAGTGTTTGAGGACCGGGACATCCGTAGGGATACCAAGGTACTTGTCTATAAAGCTATTGTCCTCCCAACCCTGCTATATGCCTGTGAGACGTGGACTGTCTACAGACGTCACATGCAACTCCTGGAACGATTCCATCAGCGCTGCCTCCGGAAAATCCTGCAAATCTCTTGGGAAGACAAGCGGACAAACGTCAGCGTGCTGGAAGAAGCAAAGACCACCAGCATTGAAGCGATGGTCCTCAGCCATCAACTCCGCTGGACCAGCCACGTTGTCCGGATGCCTGACCACCGTCTCCCAAAGCAGTTGCTCTACTCCGAACTCAAGAACAGAAAACGGAATGTTGGTGGACAGGAAAAGAGATTGAAAGATGGGCCCAAAGCCAACCTTAAAAACTCTGGCATAGACACTGAGAACTGGGAAGCCCTGGCCCTTGAGCGCTCCAGCTGGAGGTCAGCTGTGACCAGCAGTGCTGCAGAATTTGAAGAGGCACGAATGGAGGGTGAAAGAGAGAAACGTGCCAAGAGGAAGGCGTCAAGCCAACCCCGACCGGGACCGCCTTCCACCTGGAAACCGATGCCCTCACTGCGGAGAAGATGCAGGTCAAGAATAGGGCTCCACAGTCACCTACGGACCCACTGCCAGGACACTGAACTTGGAGGACCATCATCCTCGGACTATGAGGGATCACCTAAGTAAGTAAGTAAGTAAGTAAGTAAGTAAATAGTTTAGTAGATTGTAAGTATATTGTCTTAATGTTTTAATGTTTTTAACTATTACAATGGTTGTTTGTTTGTATTTTATTAAGTGGCATCGAATTGTTGCCGACTAGAAGCCACCCTGAGTCCCCCCCAGGGGGTTGAGAAGGGCGGGGTATAAGTGTTCGAAATAAATAAACAAATGGGGTGAGCTCCTGCTGTTATCCCCAGCTTCTGCCAACCCAGCAGTTCGAAAGCATGCATATGTGAGCGGATCAATAGGTATCGCTCCGGTGGGAAGGTAGCAGCGCTCCATGCAGTCATGCTGGCCACATGACCTTGGAGGTGTCTACAGACAACGCTCTTTGACTTAGAAATGGAGATGAGCACCACCCCCAGAGTTGGACACGACTAGACTTAATATCAAGGGGAAACCTTTACCTTTACCTTTAACCTTATAGAAGACCTTGCATATTCAGCTGATCATTGCCTTATCAGTCATACCCTCAGCCCTTTGCACTACTGTAAGAAAGGTTGTTTCCCCTATTTGCATGTTCACCCTGCTCCCAAGATTTGAACCACCAGCCTTTCGGTCAGCAAGCTCAGCAGCTCAGCTGTTTAACCTGCTGCACCACTGGGACTCCCAGTTTGTTGTTGTTCATTCGTTCAGTCGTCTCCGACTCTTCGTGACCTCATGGACCAGCCCACGCCAGAGCTCCCTGTCGGCCGTCACCACACCCAGCTCCTTCAAGGTCAGTCCAGTCACTTCAAGGATGCCATCCATCCATCTTGCCCTTGGTCGGCCCCTCTTCCTTTTGCCTTCCACTTTCCCCAGCATAATTGTCTTCTCTAGGCTTTGCTGTCTCCTCATGATGTGGCCAAAGGACTTCAACTTTGTCTCTAGTCTCCTTCCCTCCAGTGAGCAGTCGGGCTTTCTTTCCTGGAGGATGGACTGGTTGGATCTTCTCGCAGTCCAAGGCACTCTCAGAACTTTCCTCCAACACCACAGCTCAAAAGCATCTCTCTTCCTTCGCTCAGCCTTCCCTAAGGTCCAGCTCTCACATCCGTAGGTGTACTACAGGGAATACCATGGCTTTGACTAGGCGGATCTTTGTTGCCAGTCTGATGTCTCTACTCTTTACTATTTTATCGAGACTGGACATTGCTCTCCTCCCAAGAAGTAAGCGTCTTCTGATTTCCTGGCCACAGTCTGCGTCTGCAGTAATCTTTGCACCTAGAAATACAAAGTCTGTCACGGCCTCCACATTTTCTCCCTCTATTTTCCAGTTGTCAGTCATTCTTGTTGCCATAGTCTTGGTTTTTTTGATGTTTAGCTCCCAGTTACATTTCTGCATATTAAAATGTGGGGAAAGACTTATCCTCCTCCCTCTGCCAGGTAAGCAATAACTACTACCACCCCCCCCCCCCAGATGTTTAGATGCTTCGGTAACATTATTGATCTGAAGACCAGGGTGGATTTGATTGTTCAGCACAAACACAACCAGCATATAGATTGACTTCCTCAGAAAAGAGCTCCGTGGGGAGAGAGGCGTCGTAAGCCCTTATTACTTTTACCAAGCTAAACTGATTGGACTGAGGATACAGAACTGGAGGGAGGAAAAAGATCAATAACTGTCATGGATCAATCTTAAATAATTACAAGCAAGGAGTTTAAGTTGCTGTAGAGTCTTCTGATTAGATAAGGATGTTGTTCCTGCGAGCGAGTCTTTTAAATAGCCAGTTCTGGAAGGTATAGTGTATACTCCACTTAGGCAGAAAAAAACGAAATGCAAAGAGACAGAATAAGGGACAATGAAGCCTGGCTCGAGAGCAGTACGTGTGAAAAAGATCTTGGAGTCCTCATGGACAGGAAGGTAAACATGAGCCAGGAATGTGATGCGGCGGCAAAAAAAGCCAATGGGATTTTGTCCCGCATCAATGGGAGTTACTTACTTACTTAGGCGATCCTTCGTTGGCCGAGTAGGATAGTCTTCCAGGATCAGTGTTCTGGTGGGTCCCTAGGTGACTGTGGAGCCCTATTCTTCATCTGCATCTTCTCTCGCATCACACGCTTGGGAAGTGTCCGACGTGTGATCCAGTACAACAGCCAGCAGAGTGATCTTGTCTGCTGTAGACTCATCTTGTTGTGTTTCAAATAATAATAATAATAATAATAATAATAATAATAATAATAATAATAATAACTGCTATAAAGTGAATTCAAAGTGCTGGCGTTGGCCTTTAAAGCCCTAAACGGTTCTGGCCCAAGCTACCTATCCGACCGCATCCTGCTTATGAACCCACCAGGACTCTAAGATCTTGTGGGGAGGCCCTGCTCTCGATCCCGCCTGCATCACAGGCACGGCTGGCGGGGACGAGAGATAGGGCCTTCTCGGTGGTGGCTCCTCGGCTGTGGAACACTCTTCCCGCAGACATTAGACTGGCTCCTTCCCTGATGATATTCCGCAGGAAATTAAAGACTTGGTTGTTCAAGAAGGCGTTCGAACAAGAAGTGCAATGATTGGTAATGACTATAGGAATGGAACAACGGAAAATGATACTGGATTGTGGTTTGGACGATGAGACGACGCTGAATGGTTTTCGTAGTAATGATGATGTTTTTGTATAATGTTGGATTGTGAATTGTTTTTATACTGTGTTGAATTTTGTTCTTCTACGTTGTACACCGCTGTGAGTCACCCCCGGGCTGAGAACAGCGGTATATAAGCAAAGTAAATAAATAAATAATAAATATTTCTTGATTATTATTATTATTATTATTAATACCCCGCCTCCATCTCCCCAAGGGGACTCAGGGCGGCTAACATGAGGCCAAGCCCAACAATTACAATAAGGCAAAAGAATACAACATAAAATCATCAACTAATACAACAATTATTATTATTATTATTATTATTATTATTATTATTATTAATACCCCGCCTCCATCTCCCCAAGGGGACTCAGGGCAGCTAACATGAGGCCAAGCCCAACAATTACAATAAAGCAAAAGAATACAACATAAAATTATAAACTAACACAACAAATAGAGTACAACAAAAAGTGTCCGACGTGTGATCCAATTCAACAGCCAGCAGAGTGTCTGCTGTGGACTCATCTTGTTGTGTTTCAAATAATAATAATAATAATAATAATAATAATAATAATAATAATAATAATTAACAACTTTATTTCTTTATATTATTATTATTATTATTATTATTATTATTATTAAACTTTATTTGTACCCTGCTAGCATCTCCCGAAGGACTCGATGCGGCTTACAAAGGCCAAGGCCTCAAAACACAATATAGCAATACAATATAACAATACAATATAACAATATAACAATACAAAACCTAAGCAAATTAAAACGATTAAGCAAAATAAACACAGGCAATAAAACAATACACTAAAGCACAATACAACTGGGCCGGGCCAGAGTAATGGGTACAGGATTACTGAGCTGCTGAACTTGCTGACCAAAAGGTCGGCAGTTCAGATCCGGGGAGTGGGAATGAGCTCCTGCTGTTAGCCCCAGCTTCTGCCAAAGTAACAGTTCAAAAACCTGCAAATGTGAGTAAATCCTTAAGTACGGCTTTGAGGGGACGGTAATGGTGGTCCATGCAGTCCACATGTCTTTGAAGGTGTCTACGGACAATGCTGGCTCTTCAGCTTAGAAATGAAGATGAGCACCACCCGCCAGAGTCAGACACGACTAGACTTCATGTCAAGGGGAAAACTTTACTTTTTTACTTTATTTATAACCCACCCTATCTCCCCGAGGGGACTCAGAGTGGTTTAATTTGGGATCAGATCCTGGGATAAAGGGCAGTACAGATCCAGCTTTAATTCCTTTCTCTTTTGTCCACAGCACATGTATTGGACCATGAAGCAACAGCTCGTTCACCATACAATCAATGGCTGCAACCTGAGGCCAGGAGATCTTTTGGCATCTGGAACCATCAGTGGACCGGTAAGCATTTCATTGTGCAAGCCTACTTGAGGAAACCAAATCCAAAATCCAGTACTTATGTAAATTGTGTCAATCCATTAGGCTGACTCTAGTTGGGATTCTCTACCTGGCATTTTTACTACACTTTTCCATATTTCAAAACCAGATGTTAAAAGTCCATTGGGTTCCAGACCATTCATGGGATAGGTCTGGTTCAAATTAATGTGGTTAGAAGCCGAGCCCACTAAGATCCTTTGAGGCTTCCAGGTCCAGAATATACATGTATACTGGAATCTTTTCTCACCTTTTACTTAACATGAATATTTTGGAAGCAAAGCAGACTCAGTCCTGGTTAGTACTTGGATGGAAGACCGCCAAAGTACCATAGGCTATATTTGAGAGGAAAGAACTGTTGAAAACACCTCTAAGAGCCCTTCCACACAGCCATATAACACAGAATATCAAGGAAGATAATCCACAATATCTGTTTTGAACTGATTATCTGAGTCCACATTGCCATATAATCCAGTTCAATGTGGATTTTATACAGCTGTGTAATGAAATTCATGAGGTCACCATAAGTCAAGAGGTGACTGGAAGACGCACACAAATACACAGAGAAGCCTTTATATATACTAAGTAGTAGAAATGCTAAGAGAGAGGTTACTGAATTGTAAAGCTACATATTGGGACATAGGCAAGAGATTCCATCTGAACATGAGGAAGAACTTCCTGACTGTGAGAGATGTTCAGCAGTGGAACTCTCTGCCCCAGAGTGTGGTGGAGGCTCCTTCTTTGGAAGCTAAACAGAGGCTGGATGGCCATCTGTCAGGGGTGCTTTGAATGCAATTTTCCAGCTTCTTGGCAGAGGGCTGGACTGGATGGCCCATGAGGTCTCTTCCAACTCTGATTCTATGATTCTATATGTCTTTGCTTGCTATTTGCTCTTCTCACAAACAACATTTATTTATTTATTTATTTATTTATTTATTTTATTTACGACATTTATATGCCGCCCTTCTCACCCCGAAGGGGACTCAGAGGCTTACAAGATATATATACATACAATATATTATATTATTAGCATAGTACAATATCAGTATATATTACTATATTGTACTATACCATTATATTGTAATATTATTAGTAATATTACATATGTAATATAAAATATATAATTATACTATTGTATTATTATTAGTAGCATTATATTGTATTACATTATAATATTATAAATATTATATGTATATACATTATATTTATTATATATATATACATACACACACACACACATCTAGTTAGCATTTGCAGAGAGGGTGGGGCATCCAAGAGGATTCCATTGGTCATAGCACGTGCCAAATACCAAGAAGGCATCTCATCCATCTATGGTGCTGGGATGAATTTCCTGTTCCTAGTATCTCCAGAGTCCTGGCTGCACAGCAGTTTAAATTGCTGAGCTGTTGAACTTGTTGACCAAAAGATTGCCAGTTTGAATCCGGGGAGCGGGTTGAGCTCCCACTGTTAGCCCCAGCTTCTGCCATCCTAATAGCTCGAAAACATGCAAATATGAGTAGATCAATAGGTACCACTCTGGCAGGAAGGTAACGGCGCTGAGCACCAAACCCCAGAGTCGGACACAACTGGGCTTAATGTCAGGGGAAAACCTTTACCTTACCTTGTACACTCTATAGGAACCTGTCTACTAGACCTTGTGATTAGCTTTGGGAGCCCTGTTCTCACTGTCAATCGAATTTACTTGAGAGTAAATCCCATTGGCATCCAAATGAGGTTTTGATGTTGATGGGATTTAAGTCTTTCTTTAGTTTTCAGCACCATTACCTTTCCACCGGAGCGGTACCTATTGATCTACTCACATTTGCATGTTTTCGAACTGCTAGGTTGGCAGAAGCTGGGGCTAACAGTGGGAGCTCACGCTGTTCCACGCATTCAAACCTGCCACCTTTTGGTCAACAAGTTCAGCAGCTCAGCAGTTTAACCCACTGTGCCACCGGGGAAGGTAACTTAATGTCATGGGGAAACCTTCACTAACTTTTACTATCTCTGGATTCAATGTAGTTAAGTCCCAGGTTGTTGTAGTTTTCTTAATCAGAAACTGCATCCTACACTTCACTTTTTTATAATAATAATAGTAGTAGTAGTAGTAAACAACTTTATTTATACCCTGCCACCATCTCCCACAACGGGGACTTGGAGCCGCTTACATGGGGCCAAGCCCGAACAACAAATAAAACAAACGAAATAAAAATATAACAAATAAAACAAATAAGCATTGCAAAGTACCAGAAGGAAGATGAAAATGGTGCCAGCAATTTTTTTTCCTGCACAAAGAGATATAATCCTAAAAGGTGCCACTGTTTTGCATTTGTCCCCTGTTTGTAGTTACGATTTTTTGGGGATAATTTTGCTCCAAGATTTTAAAGACATTCTCTAGGCCGCTATTCTATAAGCAAGCACACCTTCCAGGGAATAAAACATTAAATTACAGCAAGTGACTAAGTCGAGGGTGTCGGTGGACTGGATCAGTGGCGGCCATTGGCAGGGGTCCATTGTCGAAGGTGCCAAAATATCCTTGAAAGCAGTGGCGCCGAGGAGAGAGCTGTAAGGTGGCCAAGCACAAAGCCAACGCTGAGTTCTTCTTTCAATTTCGCCTTGAAGGATCCTGAGAACTTTGGCTCCATGCTGGAATTGTCATGGAAAGGAACCAAAGCAATTGACCTCGGGAACGGCCAGACGCGTAAATTTCTACAAGATGGGGATGAAGTCATTATAACAGGTATGTCAAGGACGGAGAAACAAAGAGTAATCTCTCTTATTGTTATTATGCTGCTGTATGACCAAATTCTAAATTCTAAAGCCTTTGACTGTACGGATCATAATAAATTGCGGCAAGTTCTTGGTGGGATGGGCATCCCAAGCCCCTTCCCTCTCTCCTGAGGAATCTGTACAAGGACCAAGTAGCAACAGTCAGAACTGACCACGGAACAACAGACTGGTTCAAGATTGGGAAAGGCGTACGGCAAGGCTGCATCCTCTCACCCAACCTTTTTAACTTGTATGCAGAACACATCATGCGAGGATGTGCGGGGCTGGATGAATGCAAAGCTGGGGTGAAAATTGCTGGAAGAAACATTAACAACCTCAGATATGCAGATGACACCACTCTGATGGCCGAAAGCGAGGAGGAGCTGAGGAGCCTTCTAATCAAGGTGAAAGAGGAAAGCGCAAAAGCTGGGTTGCAGCTAAACATAAAAAAAACCAAGATTATGGCAACAAGAATGATTGACAACTGGGAAATAGAGGGAGAAAATGTGGAGGCCGTGACAGACTTTGTATTTCTAGGTGGGAAGATGACTGCAGATGCAGACTGTGGCCAGGAAATCAGAAGACGCTTCCTTCTTGGGAGGAGAGCAATGTCCAGTAGAGATATCAGACTGGCAACAAAGATCCATTGCATAGTCAAAGCCATGGTCTTCCCTGTAGTAACCTACGGAGGTGAGAGCTGGACCTTAGGGAAGGCTGAGCGAAGGAAGATCGATGCTTTTGAGCTGTGGTGCTGGAGGAAAGTTCTGAGAGTGCCTTGGACTGTGAGAAGATCCAACCAGTCCATCCTCCAGGAAATAAAGCCCGGCTGCTCATTGGAGGGAAGGAGACTAGAGACAAAGTGGAAGTCCTTTGGCCACATCATGAGGAGACAGCAAAGCCTAGAGAAGACAATGATGCTGGGGAAAGTGGAAGGCAAAAGGAAGAGGGGCCGACCAAGGACAAGATAGATGGATGGCATCCTTGAAGTGACTGGACTGACCTTGAAGGAGCTGGGGGTGGTGACGGCTGACAGGGAGCTCTGGCGTGGGGTAGTCCATGAGGTCATAAAGAGTCAGAGAAGACTGAACGAATGAACAACAACAAATGACCAAATTGGACAACTTTGTTTCAGTTGCTATTTTTTGTTTCCAACAGGGATCAATGTAGCATTGGTCCAAAGCACTTCCTGGGAGAGAACTTAGGCACAACTTTTTGAAAATATTTTTGAAAATAATTCCTTACATCTATATAAATAAAAATGTAATTTTCGTTTGTGGGATTAACAGAACTAAAAAAACCACTGGGGGAATTGACACCAAATTTGGACACGATACACCTAACAACCCAATGTTTGTCCTTCACTCAAAAAAAAACTGAAAAACACATCAGAAGGGACTTTAAAAGCCCAAAAAAGCTAAATGACAAAAAGCTAAATGACAATACAGTAAAAAGGGAAGAAAGAGGGAGGAAAGGGGAGAGAGAAAAAGAAAGGAAAAAAAGAAAAGAAAAGAAAGAAAGAAGGAAAGGGAGAAGGAAGTATGGAAGCAAAGAGAAGGAAGGAAGGAGGTAGAGAAGGAAGAAAGGAGAGAAAGAGGGAGGGAAAGAAGGGGGAAGATGTAGAGAAAGAGGAAGGAAAGAGGGAAAGAGAGAAGGAAAGAAAAAAGGGAAAGAAGGAAGGAAAGAGGGAGCAAAGGAAGGGGGAAGATGTAGAGAAAGAGGGAGAGAAGGAAAGAAGGAAAGAGAGAAGGAAGAAAAGAAAGACAGCAGAAGAGAAAGAAAAAGGGAAGGAAGGAAAGAGATAGAGAAGGAAGGAAGAAGAGAAGGAAAGATGGGAAGGAAGGAAGGAAAGGGAGTGAAGGAAGGAGGGAAAGAAGGAGAGAAAGAGGGAAGGTTGGCCACAGCAACGCGTGGCAGGTAGCTAGTACAGTTATAATTCCAAAGTTTCCAAAGTAATTGTGTTGTTTTTCCTTGTAACTCTTTTCTATTTCTCAAAAAACAACTAAAATATTGTTGAAGGCTTTCATGGCTGGAATCACTGGGCTGCTGTGAGTTTTCTGGTCTGTATGGCCATGTTCCAGAAGCATTCTCTCCTGGCATTTCGCCCACATCTATGTAAGGTTGTGAGGTCTGTTGGGAACTAGACTTTGAAGCAGCCAGGCTTTGAAGCTGCAAGGCTATTCAGTGCTAATCAAGATGGCCAACTGCAACATTCACACTTGTCTCAAGCAGACAATTATTTATTATTTATTTATTAATGAAATTTATAGCCTGCCTTTCTCAACCGTACGGCGACTCAAGGTGGGTTACAGATTGGCACAATTGGGTGCCATGCATTCATAAAAGTGCAATTAAAAACAGTCAACATAAAAATATAAAAACATATAGAACAACCATTAAAACATGTAGTCACAAGAGTTCTTTCTCCCACCCTGGACATCATTCCACAGGTATATACACCTCACTTGCCTAGTTTCCAACAGACCTCACAACCTCTAAGGATGCCTGCCATAGATGTAGATGCAACATGGCCATATAGCCCAAGAAACTCACAGCAACCTGATGATGATGATGATGATGATGATGATGATGATGATGATGATGATGATGGAAACTAGACAAGTTGGATTTATATACATGTGGAGTAATGTCCAGGGTGGGAAAAAAGAACTCTCGTCTGTTTGAGGCAAGTGTGAATGTTACAATTGGCCAACTTGATTAGCATTGAATGGCCTTGCAGGAAGCAACCAGGCTTTGAAGCTGCAAGGCCATTAATGCTAATCAAGCTGGCCAGTTGAAACATTCACACTTGTCTCAAGCAGAAAAGAGTTCTTTCTCCCACCCTGGACATTATTCTACAGGTATATACACCTCACTTGCCTATGTTTCCAACAGACCTCACAACCTCTGAGGATGCCTACCATAGATGTGGGTGCAACACGGCCATACAGCTCAGGAAACTCACAGCAACCCAATGATGATTATGATGATGATGGAAACTAGGCAAGTTTGATCTGTATACCTGTGGAATAATGTCCGGGGAGGGAGAAAGAACTCTTGTCTGTTTGAGGCAAGTGTGAATGTTGCAATTGGCCAACTTGATTAGCATTGAATGGCCTTGCAGGAAGCAGCCAAGCTTTGAAGCTGCAAGGTTATTAATGCTAATCAAGCTGGCCAATTGCAACATCCACGCATACCTCAAACAAATAGAGTTCTTTCTCCCACCCTGGACATTATTCCACAGATACATAAACTCTGTTTGCCTAGTTTCCAATAGATTTCGCAAACTCTGAGGATGCTTGCCATAGATGTGGGCAAAACGTCAGGAGTGAATGCTTCTGGAACATGCCCACAGCCCGGAAAACTCACAGCAACTAAAATATTCCTTACTGTTCAAAAACATTCTGAATGCTTCAAGACACTGGCCTGTAATGCAAAACACACATTTTCTTCTTGCCTGCCTTTCTCTTCTGAGATTTCCATTGTGAATATGAGAATAACTCAAGGGGAACTTGCTAAGTAGCCAAAGTCTTGATATATAGTTAGTGGCTTATCTCACTGACTCTTTGCAAAGGTTAAGTATCTTTCGGCTACAGAGGATCAAACTCATTAATCTGTTAGATGCTGTAAAGCATGGGTGAGTCAAATGATTATTTTTAGATGGGAGAAGGCTGGAAAGTAGAAATTTGGATTGGTTTCACAGGAAATGGACATTGCATTTTGAATTATATATAAAGTCCCGCCCCTTGGGTACGTCGGGTCAGTTTACAATCATATGTGGTTATAACTGTTTGGCCCGGAAGAGGTTTTCTTTTTTCTTTTTTTTAATAATTTTTTATTGATTTATCACATTTATTACATACTATTACATTTTGTACATCAACCTCTTTAACATGTTGTTTTGTTGTTTTGCTCTGACATTTCCCCCCCTTTTCTCTTTTTTTTCCTTTTTTCACCACAGTGCTCCCCTCCACCCGTCTCAAGCCACCCTTCTTACATTTCATCTGTCCAAAATTTCATTTCTTCTTGTGACGGTAATTTTCCTTCCTTATTTTTTAATCCATTTACCACAAATCTTCCCCATACAGCATCAAAATCGCTTTGTTTCCATATACCTTTTTTTAACCTTTAATATACATGTCAATTTATCATTTATTGCTATTTTCCATGCTTCCTTATACCACTCCTCTATTTGTATATTCATTTCTTTTTTCCAATTCCTTGCTATAAGCAGTCTTGCTATAGTTAGTAAGTTTGTTATCGCTTCTTTATCCTCCTTTTTCAATTGCTTATCGTTATATAATGATAGTAAGGCTATACTAGGACTTTTATCTATTTTTATATTCATTATAGTTTCTATTTCTCTAAATACTTTCTCCCAAAAATTATTTACATATTTACATTGCCACCACATGTGTATATATGTTCCTGGTTCTTGACACCCTCTCCAACAATTTATTGAGTTATTTTTATTCATATATGCTATTCTTACCGGTGTCAAGTACCACTTCCATATTAACTTGTAATAGTTTTCTTTAACTCGTATCGATAAATTTTTTAAATGTCTTTGTCCCCATAATTGTTGCCACTCTATTTCACTTATTTTTATCCCTAAATCCTCTTCCCAAATCTCTTTAAGGGTGCACTTTTTTGTTTTTTCATCCTTCATTTCAATTAGTATCTTATAAATTTTGCTAATTATACCTCTCAAGTTTTCGTGTTCTTCTACAGCCCTTCCCTTCTGTATTATTTGTTCGAATTGATTGAGTTGGCTTCCACTTCTATTATTTTTTTCCAGTTTATTAACCATTGTTCTAATTGTATACAATGAAACCATGACAATTTTATTTCTTTAAACTCTTCCAACATCATTTCCCTCTTCATTTCCACCTTCATCCAATCCCCTATCCTATCTAAGTTTATTTCCCTTACCTTTTTATCCATTACTTTTTTTAAATTTTTTGGGAACTTCTT